TGAGAAAAGAGAGACAATAAAGATGACATTTTTCTGCAGTTTATGATTTTCTGTTGAAAGGTCCAGCAGCATTTTATTTGCAAATTAGCAGAATTTTTTTCATTTATAGAAATAAACAAAGCAAAGCGAGAGGTCTGTTTGAGCACTCGGACAAGTGAGATGTTATAACATCTTCCACACCTCGTTCCTCTCTCCTTTCCTTAAAAATCATCCTTCACGTCTCTCTTCTCTTTCTTAACGGCGATCACAAAAATACCCGTGGGATGGCCGACCACCTGGTAGCCATGGTTACAAAGACTGAGTGCCCCTCGCGAGTACGCATTCACACATTCTCTCACATACTCGTGAACACTTCCTGTACCTGGTTAAGATATGACTTCCTGTATGTAACATGCAGGATGCAGTGGAGGAGGAACCAGTGTGACCTGGATTTAGGAGGTTCTCTTGTGACTCATTAACATCTGGAGGTTTTAGTCTCTCTAACCACCACAAAACAAGCAATGATTCAACAGTTATTCTGACACAGCAATTCATTTGTTAAAAAAAAAGAGGAAAGGAGACAACAAGCTGGAATTACGTTTACGTCATTAACAAAATAAGTCTTAGGTGAATCAGTTTGGGGGCGGATATTATGCGGAATCGACCATTTTGAGCTTTACATCATGTCATGTCATTTCCTCGTCAAAAACATACCCAGAGTGTTGCTTTGACTCATTCATGCATGTTTGAGAAACCCTTGAAACTCCTGCGGTAGCCACGTGGAACTGTAAATGCTTGCTGGTGCAAAGCACCGCCTATTTACACAAAGCTCCGCCCTGAACCTCAGTCCTCAGCCAAGCTCCCGCCCAACAGAGCACCCCTCCCTTGCGTCTCCCCCACACAGCTCCATCACTAGCGGCAGCAACAATTAGCAAAATATCTGGTGGAACTGCAAGTCTTTTGAGCTTGTAATACTAACTTCAAAATATAGCTTCATAATGGTAATTAATTTTAGTTTCTTCGCTAAAAATATCTTAACGTTGACGTATGTGCAAGAGGATGACTGTGCGATATATTACCAAGCTGAAACGTCTTGTAGGAGCCTCTGTACTCACTTAGGTTCTTCAGAAAACATACTTTCTGTTGGGGGATAATTAGAGTAAGATTCAACTGAGTTTCCATATTCCAATACTGATGTTATATAATGTTGCTTCTTTATTTTATTTTTTTACAACAAAATACAACACTCCTATGAAAGATGGTAAAGCAGGGCTATTCAACTAGCAAGTGACCAAAGTTTGGCCTGTCCATTGGTTCATTCATCCCTTAAGCCCAAAACCCCGGTTTTCTACTTTAATTACTATAAGTTCTTTTTGTTAAACATAGACATGTTTGGTATCTGCATAAATGTCAGAATCTTGGCTAGAAGCTGGTAAAAAAACACACTTCTATGCACATTCATGACAGTTAAAACTACAAACAGTTGAAGATAAAATTATGAAACTGAAAAAAAATTGGTTTAAAAATTTGGCAAGTCAGAGATAGGAGGCATAACGTGTTATTTTTAATTTTTGACATTGTTTTATCATCACTACTTTTTTTATAGGGCTCTGTATGATGTAGTCATGGTTAAATGCAGAAAAATAAACTATTTCAAATTTAACAGATCTTTGTAATACTTGGTTTATTTACATAATGACTTTTATTGCTGGATGTTCGGCCCCTGAGCTGTTGGCCTGCAGTAACTGTGGTCTCCGGAAAACTTAGTTGAATAGCCCTGTTGTAAATTATATGAAGCATTGTTGTGAAGACATGCTGAAGTGGGAGGGACAGAAACGGTAGGAGGTTCTTAAAGAGACAGACACGAATTTCAAGGCGTTTAGATCAAATTAAGATCTAATCACATTTAGTTTTGATGTATACAGCTTTTTCATAACAACTGAAGGTATTTGATTGTAGTACAGAATTGAACTGTGCCTTTAAAATAAAAATAAAAAAATCGACAAAAACGAGGGAAATAAATTGCTAAACCAACACTGAATGTGAGAAAAAACATCTTTGACCAGCCGTTGAACATTTTTTCACGGTTGCTGTAAAACATTCTAGTAACTTCATTGCTCGTTAGTGCTGGTATGACCAATCTCATCTCACAAGTCTCAGCCAACACATAATATTCATACATATAATGTAATGTCTTTAAAAAAAAACTGGCAAAATGTTTGTAATTTTTGTTGAAATCTGTGCAACAAGAATGGAAAAAGTATGAACCTCAGGCTCAATAATAAGTAAAAAAAATATATAAAATTTAACAAAATAATTTGGAATATGGTTGATGATCTGTGTAGATGCTCCCACTTTAATCCAATGGATTTAACAATCTGAGAACTTGGATATACTGTGGGTTCCTATGAAATTTTAAAGTTGGTCAAGTTTAAAGAAGAGAGAACATGAGAGTTAAGGATATATCTATTAAATGTCTCCAGAGGCTTATATTCACTTGTGTTATATTCATAAATTAGCTGTGAGCCACTGATTTAAAGTGCAGCACCGACATAAACTGTACAAGTGTATAAAAAATAAATGACTTGTCCACGCCTATCTCTGTGATTTGTGTGGTCTTGTTGAGCCTGCATCATTCTTTCAGGTTCAGTGCTTAAAGGGCCTTGTTTACATGCACGGAGGCGGCCGGCAAGCAAAGAGGAATGCAGAAAATCCACCTTTGTCACTCTTTCCTGTGACTCTTTCACTAAGAACCGAGAGGAGCTTGTGAGACTCGATCCTAACATGCCGACATGGGTTCAGTAAATCATATCCAGCAATTTTCCCTGTGAATAGACAATGAACCAATTTCAGGCTCTGCAAGAAGAATGTGTTTCCACTGGTGGGACAATTCAAGGTCAGTGGCAATAAATTGACAAACGCGATGCCTTGCGATAGGAGCCGTTGAAAATCACAATAAAGAAACAGTAAATAAACCATGCAGAGATGCTACAAATGCGGTACCTGTGAAATTTTAAGTATTAGGATGCTTGAGAAATTACGCATGACAGATAATTGCTACTTTTTGAGTAAATAAACCATTAGCTAACCAACTTTACTAGCATTTTCAATAAAAATGTTTTGCTGTTGCACAATTTAAAGTACAGTAGATGACATAAAACCCTTGCTCGAGCCATCCTTCAAACAATCAACGTTTACTGAGGCTATTTTTTGAACATTAGTCACGTGACTGTGTCTGCTCGACACGGACGCACGCGCAAACTCTCATACCAGCTGCATCGATTTCAATGGAGCTGCGCTGGTTTAGCTGTGTTTAAACTTAAATAACGTCAGAAAACAGCATCAGATTCCATCGCCATTGTCCCAACATGGAAGGAGTGTTTTTGATCACTTTTCCCAAGTTACGATGCAAGGCTAACTGCTGGATTCAAGCGATGGGACGAGCTGAATTTGACTGGAAAAAAGTGCAACCAAGGATTTAATGTCTGCTCCAAACATTTACCTGATACAGAGACCAACATATCCCTGCACTTTCTGTCCATAAACAGACCAGTAAACCTTGTTGTTTTTACTACAGTCTACTGCTAGCTTTACTCCTAGCATCCATGCTAGCCTCATACAGAGCTCTACAGCAGTAATAATGTATGCAAATGGTATGTGTGACGTCATGAATATACAATAATACAAAAACACAGAGAGAAGGGGAGAGAGAAAAATTATGCCGTATGTTCGATAATACAAAAACACGTGGTTGGCGAGCACTGAAGAGGTAGGTTGCCATTAATGGTGAATGGTTAGCTAAAAGCTTGAGTAAAAAAGTGGGTTTTTAGGTGTTTCTTAAAGGAGACAATGTTATCAAGGGAGCGCAGGTTAACAGGGAGTTCATTCCAGAGCCTGGGGGGCCACAGAGGAGAAGGACCGGTCACCACGGGTCTTAAAGCGAGTGAGGGGAACCATAAGGAAATTTTGATCCTGTGAGCGAAGGTCGGTCAGTCTGTTCTGGAGGTTTCTGGTGCGTTAGTGCTTTGTGTACATGCAGGGGTCAGTTATGCAACCACTATGCGGTATCTTGTTAGTTTTAAAATTTGATGTGTTAACATTTTTAAGATCTCTGAAAGTTTGATTAAAGACATTTTAAGGCTAACTAAGATCTTAATCAAATTCAAAAATACTTTATTGATCCCAGAGGGAAATCATGTCATTTTTGCATTGGTTATTTTTGGATTGATGAATTCAACACCTTTTAAGACATTTTAAGGATCCGCGGAAACCCTGATCAAACCATTTAAGCGCTTTAAAGGATTTCAAGCACCTGCACAAACCCTGTATGATGCTAGCAATATAGCCACATGGTCAAACCTTGAAAAAAAAAACAGCATATTGTCATATTGCAATATCCTTTGTGATCTTAAATGACCTGTTAATGCTCTGCAAGGTTTACATATTAAAATTTAAATAACATTTTTTTTATTCACTTTTAGTGGATCATTTTGAAGTTCAGAGGGGTTCCCTGGATCTCCCACTGACACCCATGTTTTATGTATAAAAGCACGCACCATGAATAAGTCAGGGGGAAAATGAATAATCATAGTTTATTTTTACATGTCTGTGTTTGGGGGTGACCTGGTTGTTAGTTCACCATCTATCCCAGCAGAGTTGGTAATAAACTGCAGAGACCAGCAGAATTTGAAATGGAAAAAGTGAACGAGTAGCAGAGTGGGGACAATTGAATCCATCTCTTGGTGCCGTCCCTCCCTCTGGGCATTTCCCTGTGGAGGCTGCAGCCTTTTAAAATCTGCAGCTTGCCAATGAACCATATGTTTGTGTATTAATTTTGTTAACTGTGTGTGTGTGTGTGCGTGGTGGTTTGAGTTGTGTAGGAACCGGAAATTTATTTGCACAAGGATGAGGGAAGTGTGTCTGCGTCCACGTGTGCGTCTCTGTGTGGGCGCGAGTTCGCTGATGTTTATTGCTCTCTGTCTGCACATCTGTCTGCGTGTCCCTGTGCACACGTGACTCACCGCTTCCCTCGCCAGATGCTTCACAGCCGTCTTCGTCGTCACAACTGTCCCCGCTGCTTTCATCTGTCCGTGCGCTCCCTCTGTCCTCTTCCTGCCACCTTCTTCTTGCTTCGCTTGTCCAGCCGAGTTCCACCAACAGCTCCTGAAAAATAGCCAATATTCACATTACACATGGATGCAACAGATACAGTGGTTTGCAAAAGTATTCATACCCCTTGAACTTTTCCATATTTTGTCACATTACAACCACAAACATAAATATATTTCACTGGAATTTAATG